AGTTTTAGGGGTAAGGACTAAAATGACCATCATTTTGTATACGTTAAGGACTATTTGGATAAGATGATATATATAGAGGACCAAAATAATTTAACCCTTATACATTAAGGACCATTTTGATCATTTTTTCATCGTACTTCACACCATACATGACGTAACACCTTCATAAACCTTTCCAATCTTTGATCAACTCCAAACTTACATAACTCACCAAGCACAAATAGGCCCTTCAACGCTTACAAATCACAACAATTAACTGGGTATGGTTAAGTCATACATGTCGAACGGATCAAACCTTAGCATGAAAGTACGAGGTGTTATATTTTGTTTTTTTTTGTAGGGGACCCTCTCATTTTGTGATGTCCAATACTAGTCTAGTGCTTGACTATTTCAATTAATATATATGCTTGATGGCCCTGTGGAGAATGTGGTCAGAAATCCATAATAGAATTCACCTACAACGACGAAATTGATTATTTCATGCATAAGACTACTAGGTCACCTTGTATAAAAGATTGGAAAATCATCACAATCTCCCTTGTTTCTTTTTTATTGTAATTTCTTGTTTATCTGTATAAGAATGTATTTAAGATCTAATGTTAAGAACTCATTGAAATTTATTGCTTCTATTTTGAAACCTCTTTGTTTTGTCTAACTTTCTAATTTTTTTTCTCTGATTATTATATAGACCCCATGTATATCTTGCCCTTAACCCAATAGATAAATTTGGTTAATGTCATGACCCAATTTAGGAACGTGACCTAAAGCAAGCCTTGTCAAAAAAATGAAATGAAGTTTGGTACTGATCACACATCTATATAAGAACGGAAGAATATTCGGGACTCGAGTAGAGAAGTGACTATGGAGTGACTAAGAATCCAAACGAAGTTCCATAAAAATAAATAAGCTTACTGCCTGCATGAACAAGTGTGGGCTCACCATGGAATCTTAACTTGCTAGCTCTAGTTAATAAAGTCCTTGCCAACATCACCTGTGTTCTCTGTAAAAATTTAGCAGGGTGTGAGACGCTAGCTCAATGAGTAATAACACTTAACCACAACCGTTTTAATGAGGGACAAGTCAAAAAATGCTAGTCGGATAATCAAATTCATCCCTTTCAAAAGACGATAACAATATTTAATCTTATATGTCTCGTCTCGTGTAAGCAAAAATCAATGTAAACGTGTAAGCAAAATCGATGTAAGCATTATATATATATATATATATATATATATATATATATATATACCATAAACCAGGATTTCCTTTTAATTCATTTATTTACCAAACTAGCCTTTCCCTTTCATGAAAAGTCTTGACTTTTAAGAAATATTGTGACTTCTAAGAAAAGTTGTGACTTTTATGGAGAGTTTTTATAGTCCGTTCTATTTTCTTTTGGTAGTTCGATCGTGGAATTTCTTTGTTTCTGTATTTCCGGAGTATGAGTGTGTGACTTGTTATAATTGATCCTATTGATAGTACAGAGAATGGGTCTGTTATCTTGATAGAGATGGTTCTACTTCGTCAGATATTTATTCGAATATTTGGAACACGAAATAGATTAAGAAATATTTGAACTATGATTCATACTTAATATTCAGACCTCGTGTCCGGGCTCCAAAAAATTTTCAAACAAAGAATTTTAATTTCTAAATCGAAAGATTCTTTTCTTTCAACCCCTATTTATATTTTGACCAAAAGCAAAGTCTTTCTTTGAATTTTTAGTCATTCTATTTATTCAGGGAATAAGTGATGATCCGAGGATTCTTACTCAGGGAATCCTTGATTTGATTTAGGTTAGGTTTTTTTATTGAATCATCGTGGTTCTAGTATGAATCTGAGGTTTTAATTGATTCATAGGGTCTTAACAAGAGAATTCCTATCAATAATAAAGAAAACAAATAATAAAAGCCATATTCCACAAATTCTATAAAGAAATAGGGAACAAGAGAATTCAAGAGGCCCATAAGTATCAAAATAAAGATAAAGACGACTGCGCCAACTTGATATTTTGGTATTATCGCCACAAAGAAGAGCTTTCGGATTTTCCAGAGAAGATGGGATCAGAACTTAATAAATTTCAAACTTTCTATTCCATC